GTGAAATGGCAGTGGTCTTGAGGCATTTACTTTGGCCAGTCTGTTTGAGTGGCATGTTTGTGTTACGTAAGCCTCATTTAAGCAGCTTTCAGTGGGCCAGATTGGGGCATGTCCAGCTGGCATAAAAACAAGAGCTTGTGATGGCATAAAGAATTTACCAGCTCCTCTTCACTGGCTCCTGCATGGTTGAGACACTCTTTGACAATAGATGCATTCAGTTTAGAAGAATAGTAAGAGAGAAGTGTCCACATCTACAGCAGGGTGATAAGGGTTGACTGTTGACAGTTTGTTATAATTAATAATGGTTATACTTACTATACAGATGGAAGTCCTAAACACTGCAAAAAAAAAACAAAAAAAAAAGATTTTCCTCCTTTTTTCCCCCGTAGAAATATATAACAATATATTTATAAAAGAAAATACATTATTTTGATTGTTGTTAAAATATGAAGTGTAGTGTATTTTAGATTTTTCCACTATATTTTTTCCATTTTTCTAATAACTAATTGTTTACAAATGTATAATAATAATATATATATATATAATTTTTTTACTGGGAAAAAGGTCAAAAGTATAGATTGATAAGTGACAAAATATATAATTTACATGATGCAATCGAATTTGCAGGGGTGTTATAGGATACACATTATGTTGTGCGTTTGTGTGTTTGTAAGACAATGTTTTATTCATCAATTAATTATAAAGAATGATCAAAATCATTGCATGATGCCCAGTTCTAATTTGCCACTCGCTCCCGCATTTGCTTTAGCAATATAGTGTTGATTTTACTGTAATTGGACATTTCTGTAGATCCAAAACCTCATTACCTTATTTTACTTCAGCATGATTGGCCTTCAGATACTGTATCCTAGGAGGTATGTGTGTTTGGTTGCCAATGTGTGACACCATCTCTCTGCATGTGCTTGGGGGTTTTCTACCTCATGTTTGCAGTGAACTTCCAAAAATCAATGTTTAGCTTTGCATGCTTATTGGATTATAGCTATAGCAGCATATTGCATGATTACAGTCCATACTATATATGGAGTTAATATGGAAAAGAATGTTTTTTGCTTTTCAGGAGTTCATCAATACTTCAAAAAGAGTCAAAATTCACATTTTTGTTGAAATGTTGATAAATATTCTTATAACTTCTGCACAGTTTCTCTCTGTGTGTGCTGAGTGCTGTGTTCAGCCTGTTGCGTCAGGCCTAAATTGGCAATTATTGGAAATGGTTAAAGTTCATTAGCAACTTTAACTGCCAGTATACAGTGGCCCTAAATAGTAAAGACACTTACTCTTAAGTAAGTCACACTTAAAAATTTGTGAAAGCTATTGCATTAGATGCACACTTTTAAAGCTCATTTCACAAAGTTTCATGTGACAGAACAATTGTTTACAATGAAGACAGTAAGTGTTTGTAGTGTTAACTTGAGGGAAACTAAATTCAGACTAAATCTACTAAAAAATAAACTTAACACCACTTGGATAAAAGTTAGGTCTAAAAAAGGTCAAGCACCATTTGGTTTAATATTTTTTTATATTTCCATTTAAGTGTCCAAACAGTTTTTGTGACCACTGTATTACAATTCTAAAAGAATTTATTACATATTTTTTTTTAAATCATTAAAAATCAGTTGCATGGTTTGAAATAAGTCTGATTTATTGTTATGGTTTTATGCGAGTGAAAGTTCTACCGATAGTGTTGTTCTTAACTTGATAACTGCATGAATTGTATATGTCCTCAAATATGTTTTGAGGCTCATATGACTGGAATTTTGTTGTGTGGCCTATAATCTGTCAGCAAAAAAATTATGTATAATGTTCTTTCCCTGTCTCTGATGCACACCAAAGGTCATATTCTCTTGGGTAAGATATTGTGTTTATAGATCTCCGAGATTAGCAGTAGCTTTTAGCATCTGCCTGATACATGAGAACAGTGACGGTGCTGAAACTAAATCTGACTTACTCAGACACAGTGTTTCCATAAATAATCAATATGGGTGTGAAAGGGTGTTCAAGTATCTGAGCAGCTAATATGAATATTTCAATACAATTTCAATGAGTGTCTGTCTTACATTGATTCTGAGAAAAAAAAAACAACTGTGCGGAGCCATAAATTCATTAGATAATATGAGGTCTGAAATGGTTCAATATCTCAGACTGTGTTGTAGCATTATAAGCAGGTCTTATTTTTGTTTTTGGTTGTTGTTTTTTTATCAGCAATACATTTTCAAATCCATGTTGAGTTCGCAAATCCAAAGTAACAATCATTTCTCTGTCTCCCACATTGACTACATGCATCTGTTTAATAGATAACTGGTTTCAGCATGTGTTGCTTTTCATTGAACTATTTATGTGTTGACAAATAATGCATGTAATACTCTTGTTTTGATATATAGTTTATGAGAGAAATAGCAAAAACCTCCTTATCCCACCTACTTTGAATAGCCGTGTATTTATTTATTTTTATCAGGTATGCAGTTTAGTTCTCACTATGCATAGAAAACAGGAAGTGCAAAATGATCACAGTTCTGTACTGTGTTGTCCATTGGAAAGTCACCAGCTTGTACAGTACCATTCTAAATTTGAGGTCAGGTCTTATGTTTAGAAAGAAGTTAGTAGTTTTATTTTACAAAGAAGCATTGCATCAAAAGTGACAGTAAGGACATTAGTTACAATAGATTTCTATGAATGTAAATGCTGCTCTTTTGAAAAAAAAAAATAATGCTGTTTCCACAAAAAATATTAAGCAGCACATCTGTCAACATGGATAATTATTAAATGTTTTTGAGCACCAAATCAGCATATTAGAAATAGAATGATTTCTGAAGGATCATGTGACACTGAAGACTGGAGTAATGGCTACTAAAAAATTCAGCTTTGCATCACAGAAATAAATTACATTTTAAAATGTATTCAAATAGAAAACAGTTATTTTGATTTGTAATAATATTATACAATTTTAATAGTTTTGCTATTTTGATCAAATGCAGCCTTGGTGAGCATAAGAGATTTCTTTCAAAACATTTAGAATCTTACCAATCCAAATGTTTGGTTGTGTTGGTGTAGTAGTGAAACATACTGCTGCATGCTACACTTACATATAATTATTAGCAATGTTTATATGTGTCCTATTTGCAATGTATTAAATATTTGTTTGTCCATGATAATGATCGAACCTCTCTCTTGCTTGGCCATGCTTTCATGGGACAGCTATTCTATACGGCATTCAATGAGCATGCCTACAATGAGGTAAATGTGTGTGACAGTTTGCTTTGCATGTTTGTTCTATTATTGCATTTAAAAAAACATTTTAAAACGTCAAAGGCGAACAACAAAAATGCATGTGACATTATATAGCACATATGCATATATAAAATAGTACACTACAGGTTGAGTGTTGGTGTGTCAGATGTATAAACATTTAAAAAACTGTTAATAATGGTAATTCTTGCATGTAACATCTTGCATGCACCTTCATTACACTAAAACAACCTAGAGAGGATATTAGGACTGCAGTTGAACGAACCAGTTGAGGTTTACGGTCTAGATTAGGTAAATAAAACTAAACTATTTTTATTTTACAGGAACTCGCCTAGTTTCAAGTCCTTTGAGGAGAAAGTCGAAAGCACGGTTTCAAACATTAAGGTAAGCCTGACATACAATGACCTTATTAGTGGTCAAACAAGCAAACTGTAGCGTGTTCAGTGCTGTTAATAATTGATCAGCTTATCATTAGGAATTTTCATCTTCACTATCCTGAATGTCAACATACTATCCAATGTCATGAGAGTTTTGTGTTGTGAGCAGTCAAAGGTTGGAGGAACAGGAGGTGCGGGCAATTTTGAAGAGGTCCTGTCTTCAGCGGCCCAAGCCAGCGCCCAAGGCACCCCTACTAATAATGTGACGGAGAACAGTGAGCGCTAAGGGTTTCAATGGTCTACCAGTGGAACTCTGATGACCCCTAGTGGTTTGGAGACCACAGTGAAAACTGCACCAGGGGCCCAAAACACGGTAATACATGCCTTTCAGATGCGTGTTGGTGGATTATCTGTGCATGGGAGGAAAACAACCAAGTGGAGCCTGTTTATTCTTTAAGTTCTTTTCAAAATATGTATATTTTTCGAGGATATTGTCTTTGGTGTAGTCCTGCGTTACTTTATTATTTATACTAACTCAACATTGTTTAACTGTAACAAAGCATGATACATTTCCAGGACCAAAAATATTGGCTGCGTATGCAATCCTAAAAGAAGTACTTGAAAGAATGTTCAACAAAATAGATGTTAGACTTTGTTTTCCTGTAATAAATGTGTTAATGCTCCTATTCCTGCTAACTAGAGCACATGTTTGTTGATAACAGATGCAAACAGCAAATTAAAGAATGAGGATTTAGAGCATTTTATTGCAGTTTATTAGCTTATCTGATTGCCTGATGTAAATTGTAATGTATTGGTAATGATAATTGTCACTGACCAAAAATGTATAGCATTATTATATCCTGGTTTTTTTCTTTACTTCATACATTTGTGTGAAATTTGTTGCAGCTTTACATATTTAACATTGACAATGAAGTCAGGTGTTGTTTTAAGATTTTATAGCCGAAATATTTCTTCAAATTCATACTCAGTGTTGAGCTGCTGTTCATTAATATTGTTAGTCATTAAACGGTTTTTTTTTTTTGCAAAGTCAAAGTCCCGGCTCATCAGTCATGAAATTAAGGTGAACTGAACCGTAATCAGAAACCATAAAATGAACATTAATTTTACTGTTCCTTTGTCAGTAAAAGGGTAAAGCGTGGCAAAGTCTTTGCAAAAAAATGTGTAGCTTCTGCTTAATGCTTTCCACTTGGAAAACTAGCACTGTTGTAACTCAAAATTTCACAGAACTGAATGTGTATACAGTACAAACGTATTTTGAAAGTTGTTATAATTATTGCAGAATGAGTTGTGTTTACATTTCCATTCCGTTTTCATGCGTTCAACAAAGTAAAGTCGGTTTCAATTGATAAAAAATATTATTTTTATTGAAACATCAGTTACTGGAAGGCAGTAAATGCTGATCAAAATACAAATAGAACGAAAAACAGCTTCTGAACATTTAAAAAACAGTCACATTTCAATGTGGTTTAAATAAAAAGACTGCATTTTTATCAAAATTGCAACCGTGGAAACAAACTGTGTCCTGCAGAGCATTCAAACAAACAGGACACAAAAGTCAAACAACTGCAAACCATGCTTCTGTGCAATTAAATAAGATTAGAATAAAACACAGCTAATCAGGACAAAATAAACACTCTTGTGTACAGATGTGTGGAGGTAGCTTCATAGCCTGACAGGAACTGAGATCATGGTGTAGCTAGGGTGTGAGGGTTTGTGTCAGTAGTCTTCTCTGTATCATTATCTTCTTTGGCAGCGATGTGTCGAGCTCTCTCCTCGTTCAAACTCTTCACCAGACCCAACACCTCCGGATGATGGAACCTCCCTGTGATCAGAGGAGAAAATACATCTGTGACATAACAGGCAAAATATAAAGCTATTTAACCGAATCATTATTTGTAAGCTTTGAAAACTGCATTTTCAAATATATGCAAATAATTAAAGGAATAGTTCACCCCAAAATTAAATGATTAAACCGGTGTTTGTAAGAAACAAAACCATCATTAAGGTGTTTTAACTTTAAACTAGTGCTGTCAAACGATTAATCGCATCCAAAATAAAAGTTTTCGTTTGCATAATATATGTGTGTGTTCTGTGTATATTTATGTTTATATAAATACACACACATACAGTATATATTTTGAAAATATTTACATTTATATAATTTATATTATTAATAACTATATTTAATATATAAAAAGAACATATTTTTCTGAGATATATACATGCATGTGTGTATATTTATATATACATAATAAATAT